CACAAAATAATCAAAATATTAGAATTTATCAAACCCTTTAAAATAGTTATAACGGTGCTCAGTGAAGTAAGGGCAAACACTTTGAAATTAAAGTACAGTGAAGCTGAAACTACTCAGCAGAGGGGGAAAAAGTTATTTTAAAAGAATCAAGTAAAAAGGGCTGGGGTTGTGGCTTGGTTGTAGAGCATTTGCCTAGCATGTATGAGACAATGGGTTTAGTCCCCAGCACCACATAAAACAACTAAATAAACAAAATAAAGGTATGTGTCCATCTACAACTAAAAATATTTTTTAAAAAAGAATCAGGTGAAAGTTTTATCACTCAAAAATACTACTGAAATAATTCACTAGATGGGCTCAATTGTACAAAGGGGATAACAGGAAAGAAATCAGTGAATGAACATAAATTAATAGTAATTAAGGAATCTGAACAACAGAAACAAAAAAAAAATGTTTTAAAAAATAAACAAGCCTCAGTGACCTGTAAGACAATACCAAAAGATCTAATTATATGTCATTTCAGTCATACAGGAGAGGAGATAGATATCAAGACAGTAACTGTTTTGGAAAAAAAGAGTAGCAAAAACTTCCTAAACTTTTCGACAGACACAAATTTACAGATTTATGAAACTTTAATTTTGAGGATAAACTCAAAGTAAACCACATGTAGCTACAAGACAATCAAAGTACTGAAAACCAAAGAGAGAGAAAAAAAAATCTTGAAAGCAACTAGACACAAATGACACCTTATATACAGAGTACACTAATTTAAATAACTGTTGAATTCTCACCAGGAACCCTGGAAGATACAGGACAATATAACAACAGTTTTAAATTTCTGAGGACAAAGAACGGTCAATTCAGAATTCTGTGTTCACTGAAAATATCATTAATGAATAAAAGTGAAATAGAGTTTTCAGATGAAAAATAGAGTAAAGGATATTTTCAGTAATAGTTCTGGGTCAAGAAAGACAGTAAAGAAAATTCTTCAGGGTAAAGGGAAATGATACCAGATGGAAACTGAAAACTTCACAAAGAAAGGAAAAGCAACCCAAAGGATTAACATTTGGGTAAATGTAACAAACTGTCTCTCCTCCTAAATATTTTGAAATGTGTAGGACAACTGAAAGCAAGAATTATAACTATTGTCTGATGATGGGATTTCTCCAATTCACGTACATGTAATACAGACAACAACTAAAGCACAAGTGGGGATATTAGGGAATCAACATTATTTTAAGGGTTCTACATTCTGTATGTAGTATTAAAATATTAATTCTAGGTGGAAATTTTAATTAGAATAAATGAAAATGAAAATTGTAATTCCTGGAGTAACTACTAAAAACTATAGAAAAAAAAATAGAGAAAAGTCAAAATAGGTATGTTGAAATAGAGTAGTAGGAAAAAAATCCAAATATTCCCCCAAAAGGCAGGAGCGAGAAAGTAGAGGAATGAAAAAGAAACTGGGCACACAGAAAATGAATAATAAAATGGTAGACCTGAATCCAACCATATCAATAATTCTATTAAATGATCTAAATGTACCAATTAAAGATAAAGATCCTTGGATTGGATAAAAAGAACAAGAGTAAACTAAATGTTATCTACAGAAACATACTTTAAATATAATAACATAGATAGGTTAAAAGTAAAAGGTTGGAAGAAGTTACACCATGCAACGGCCAATCAAAGGAAAGCTGAAGATGCTATATTGATATCAAACTAGATTTGAAGTAAGCAAAATATTTCAGGAATAAGAACAACAAAAATATAACAATAAAAGTTAATTTTCCAAGAAGACCTAATAATTCTAAATGCATATATACCTATCATAGCTTCAAATTACACAATACAAAAAACAGAACTAAAAGGAAAAATAGTAAATAATATAATTACAGCTGGACCCTTAACACTCCTTTCTTTCTGAGTGACTGATAAAGCAGACAGAAAATCAGCAAAGATATGGCAGAATGATATAATCAACCAATTTACCTAATGAACGTTTATAGAACATACCCCACACCCCCAACAGTAGGAGAATACACACTCTTTTCAAGTATGCATGAAACATTCACAAAGATACACCATAGTCTGGGGTTTTAATAAATTTAATTTAATAAATCTAATTTAATAAATTAATACCATACAAATTGTTTTATCTGACTAAAATTGAATTAAACTAAAAATCAGGGCTGGGGATGTGGCTCAAGTGGTAGCGCGCTCGCCTGGCATGTGTACAGCCTGGGTTCGATCCTCAGCACCACATACAAACAAAGATGTTGTGTCCTCCAAAAACTAAAAAATAAATATTAAAAAATTCTCTCTCTCTCTCTCACTCACTCAATCTCTCTTTAAAAAAATCCAATAGATGAAAATCCTCAGGTAGTTGAAAATTAAACAATATACTTCTTTAAACATTCATAGGTCAAAAAGGAATTCTGAAATAAATTAGAAAATATTTCTAAATGAATGAAAATGAAAACCTAACACATCAAAGGTTGAGGTATATATAAGTGAAGTACTTTGAGAGAGAAATTTTGTAGGATTACAAACTTGTATTTAAAAATAAGCAAAGGCCTCAAATTATTAATATAAACTTCCATCTTAATGTATCAGAAAAACCAGAGCAAACTAAACACTCAGAAAAACAAAAGATGAATGCAGAATGGAGTTGAACATAATGAAATCTAAAGCTTATAGTTGTAAAGATCAATAAAACCAATATACCTCCAATCAGACTGACCAAGGAGGAAAAGAGGTAGACACACATTACAACATTGGGTCAGGACTGAATAAAGGGGACATCATTGATGATCTTGGTGGCATTGGAGGATATGAGGAAATATTCAGAGCAATTCTACGTGTCTAAATCAAACAATTTTAGATGAAATGAATTAATTTACTGATAGAACACAAATTACTCAAACTCAAGAAGAAATAAAATTTCAGTAGACTTATAACTATTATACTAATAGGCAGTCTAGGCTTCCTGGAAGGAAACAGCAACATTGGAACCTTGTTGGAATATTTTTTATTGATTCCATGCTTTCGGTGGTCTTAAAATGAAGTCATTCAACTGAAGAACCATGTGCCCTGTCTTTAAACAGATTCCTCCCATAATGGACAGTGATGTAGGGAGGCTGTGAGAATGTGGATGGCAAAGTTACAGATTTTTCACCAACCATTTTGTGTATTACAAATAGTTATCCATCTTATTTTCTCAAGATTACAATAAAGACCCACATTTCACCAAGATACATTTCAAGTTATGTTTGGCAAATAAGCAAAATACCCTAGGCTATTCTAGCTTAAAAAAAAAAAAAAAGTTACTCAAATAACAAAAATAGATATCATTACACATTTAAGAAGTTGATTATATAGTATATCAGTGAATTATGTAAAATATACATATTTAATGAGAGTGAAATATGTTCTTTACCATATTTTCTTTATTTTTATGAAGCAATTTTGTTTTTCTTATGCTTAAATAAATATTTCTGTAAAAGTGACGCTAACCATTATTTGTTTCTGGTGGTGGTATAAAGATTTATAGATTACACTCTATATAATTATTCAGTCCACACTAATGCATACATTAAAAAAAAGTAAAATTAGGATTTCAAATAAAAGTAAAAAACATAATTATTGTTGATTTCCTCCAAAAAATTGGTTCAAAGAGCAAAAAGCTTTGGTGCATGTTCTGTGTGTATGTTTATGTAATAATTTATTCTTTTTAAAGGAAATGGAACTATACAGTGCTACTTTTTCCAGGGAAAATACAATGTTGAAATTATTTAAAAAAAATAAAGACAAAGGAAAACGTTGTACTGTCAGATATTATTGCATTCCATAAGCAACCTCAAAACAAGGGACAATCTATTTTCATTTAAATGACACCTAAATTGTATTAAAATATTTAAAAACAAACATTCTGAATGGGAGAACTTAATCTTATACCAGCTAACAAAAAACGCATTTGGGCTTTATGAAATTCATGGTGTCTAATGATGTTTATTCTTCCTTTATAGGTAATGCATTTAGTTGACTGATGAACAGATACAGTAATGTACATAATGATTAACAAGTAGCAATATGGTAGTGAAGAATATTACAAACTCAGAATTCCAATACTGAATCAACATCAGTTAGGCCAGGCTTTATAAATAATAAATGAAAACAAGAGCAACTATTCTACAATAACTGAAGATTTATGAATAAACTATAAGTCCTCTCAAAATATAAGCTGTAAAAGATTCAGTGTTAAGTGTTATGTCCTTGGGTATTCATAAATTCTTTCATGGGTATTACCTATAAATGTCTCCATATTTTTAAAGAACATATTTCAAGTGTTCTAATATGCAGAGGAATTTTGCTTTTGTTCATAGCATGTAATAGAAAAGACACTTTAGAGTAAAAACCATTTTTCCTTTCCTTGGACAAATGAATTACATTATTAATGCAGATTACCACTCCACCTCTCCCTGAATATTTCCAAGCTCTATGAAATTGTAGTCTTTCTGTTTCCATGAATGAAAATATTAAACATGCAAAACTTATGTTAAGTAGAGTTTTGTTATGGAAGTGAAAAACAGTAAAGTCCATGGACAAACAGTAAAGGCTTCACTTGGGAATCTGTTAGAAGTATGCAATCAGTCCCCACCCGACAATAACTGAATGAGAATCTGCATTTGTAAGAAGATCCCCAGTTCACTACATTACACATTGATGTTTGAGAGGTGCTGATTCAATATACTTCACTGACTGAGTTAATTTTCTATAAGTTAACCATATCTAAATCACTAGTGTAGTCATGTCACTTAACATCAGGGGTATGTTCTGAGAACTGAGCCCTGAAGCACTTCATCTTTATGTGAACATCAGAAATTGTACTTACACAAATCTAGATGTTGCAGTCAATCACTTGATGTAGCCTCTTGATGCAGTTAAGAGATTGGGTAAGCACAAAATGTATGAGATTACTGCTGGCATCACATGACATATTGTTTTACAGTAAACCTTTTTTATTTTTAATAAATGGAAGGAGTACACTCTAAAATAATGATAAAAAAGCATCATACCATTGTAAATAGACAAACCAGTAATGTCTATAAGGGTTTGCATAGTCCTATTTTTTTCTAACAGGTTTTGTTATGGAGCTTTACAGACATTCAGCTTACATTTCCTTGTCCTGCCCTCTATACTGCAATGCTAATTTACCTTGGTGCTTTGATTCTGCATGATTATGAAAGACTTAAGAAGCCCCAAAACATTACTATTTCCAAATTCTCATATTGGTATCTGCATACTCCAATTTCTACTGAAATATCATTGTTTCCAAATTTAACTGACAGGTATATGTATACTACTACTGCTACTTTTAAAATGAAAAACAGCTGTTTACATGTTCAATATGTACTTTTATTTTAAACAACAGCATAGCAAACACAATGACATAACAGGACCACTACCTTAATACTGATAATATCCTTGACAGGTTGACCTGTAATTCACATATATTGTTTCTATCTGGAGCTATTTTTAACATTATCTTAAGATACACTGTAAAACACAAATCCTAAATATAGATCAGTTGCAAACATAATGTGCTTTGTTGCAGTTTTCCTTGTTACTCAAATGGAGTCATTTAAAGTTCCTCAAAATCATGTGCACTTGGGTTCATTGTTTCAGGATGCAGGACTCGTCCCATGAATAAGATTGTACCTGTGTTCGTTAGGAAGTGAACAACAACAACAAAAAAGGGTGAATAGAAGAATGTGCTATTTTCCTTCTTGCTTACAATTATCAATGTTTTAAGAAATACAAATACAAATTATTTTCACTTTTTGAAAAATCATTTGACCATTAGACATTATCTAATAAATTCTACTGTGGATGGAAGGGGCAGCCTTCCATTTAAAAAAGAAAGTTTCTTTGTGCCCTATTGGATAAAGTTGTCTTCTCATAACAGACTTACCAGTTCTCCTGTTTCTGATAAGAAAGAAAAATGGATGGTCCACAATAACTTGAGGATACAGCACCGCCATCCTACTAATTGCAATCATTCCTACAGTGCAGAAAGAAATTAATTACATGTCCATAGATGTGCAGAGATTAATGAATAATTTCTCAAAACCACCTATATCTATCCATCTAATGCAAAGGCAACAATTTACAGAAAACAAGATTTTAAAGACTTTAAGAGAGAAAAATTATAAAAGTATTAACATTTCTACTTGATTAAAACAAAACAAAACAAATCACACCATTCCCTCCTTCCACCCCATCAAAAATAATAGGACTAGTTATTCTGCCTGTTACAAAAGTTCTATTTTCAGCCTAAGATAAATATTTGTGCTTTTATCAAAACATCCTTTCAGTGAAGGGAAGGGGGAGAAGAAAGAAAAATCCTCGTGACAAAAAAACAAAGACAGTTTATGTTTTCCAGTCAGTTTCTTCTGTTTGAATTGGGTCTATTGCCAGAGCAAATCTCTAGAGTCCTAGTAGGAGGGAGGGCTGTCAGAGATTAAGGTGAAAGTGCAGCAGCAAAACAAGCAATGGTGCTTTCTAAGGTGGGATGCTAAATTCCCCTTCCTTCTAGGATGGTTGCTGCAGTGTGGTTAGTTAGCAGAAAAAAAGAAAGTCCAGATTAGATTATGCAAGATTTCTGATGCCCAAGACTAGTGTTTCTACATCCTCTTTAAAACACTGTTATGACTGGTGAAGTTAGAAATAATGTGCTGCAAAACAAACATACAACCAGGAGTGAAAAGTTCTCAGTTAACTAGGAAAGTTAGAACCATCAAAATGATCAATGACATTTACCATTGTAATTTGGATGTTATTTATGTTGATTAAAAAATTATGTATTGGAAACTATTGCGTTATTAGTATTATTAGTTAATAGCACTTAAAATTATTTATTACATCTATGGTACACTCTTGCAAATGAATGTGCTTCTAAAAAATCCAAACTTTTCACTGACAAAATTAATAGTGAAGTTTCAAAAGTAATTAGGAAGGAAGAAAAATGTTTAAATAGGCATCAGGAAAATATTTTAAAAGGCAGAACTGTAGGAAAATCATTCTACCAGAGCTGCCAGGTGTCCTGATTTTAATTAGGAAAAAAACAAAGATGGATTTATAGTGCAAAGGGCCAGTGGACTGAGAACTTGCTTTACATCCTATTTAGAAAATTCTGGCTGGTTCAGCATTTGCTTGACTCCTAACTTAGGACAAAAATCAGTTTTTTGGCTAGGTTCTGAAAATGATCCCCACCCCCATCCAAGATTATTTTAAATATATGAGTATAGGGAAGGCAAGAAGATTTTGGAAAACAGCTTTGTACCTGAGGCAGCGGCAGCTTCTGAGCCTTCTTCATTAACCTCTATGAAAGACTTGTGAATTGCTTTGGAAAGGAATAGCTCTTTGTTATCTGCAAAACAAGAATAAAGCAGAAGGGTTTTATTCAGTATCAGGGATACAGAGACATTTGACCCTTTTGTTAAATGGGTTTTGGAGATGTAAGACAAAGATACTGATTAAAAAAAAAAAAAAGACAAGTGATAAAGTTACAAGATTTCACTTATAATAGGAGAGAACCATGATGATGTAGTTTCTAATTTGCCCTCATTGTCTATTCTCTTGTTAATTTTACCCTTCATTTTCATTAGAAATTTTCCATTGTTTATTTCTTACGTTGTGAAAAAATGCAGAAAATCTGTTTTTAGCAGTAACTTCAAATTAGTTCATAACTCAAGATAAAAACATTGTATATAGTGCACTCTAATTTGAAATAAAAAGTACAAACTGAAAGCTGGTAAAAATCCAGAAATAACCAGAATAAAAAAAAAAAATGTTCTTTTCTAAACCTAATCTCTAATTAGTAGGATAATGTAGATATCCTTTGCAAAGAAAAATAAAATTGACTTCAAGTTTATAGAAATGTGAATAGATGTTTTAAAAAATTTGCTTCCATTCTAGTTAACTGGTTTATCTGAGGATTCATAAAGATATGTTTAACATCCAATAATAGGAAGATTATTTTTTCCTTTAAATTGCCTTCTATTTATGCTCATTAATGGTCATAATGGGTAGAATTGTCCCCCAAATTCATTTGTTGAAGTTCTAACTCCCAGTACTTCAAAATGTGACTATATTTAGAAATATGATCTGAAATTAAAATGAGGCAATTAGGGAGTATTCTAACCCACGATGACTAGTGTTCTTATAAGAAGGGGGAATTTGGACATGGAAAGGTACAGATAGGTGAAAATTAATTTAATGTAGCAAATTACATAGGCTTTGATGCCCAGATAATTGGTCAAATATTATTCTGGATGTTTTCCTGAAGGTGTTTTTGGATAAAATCAACATTTAAATCAGTAGACTTGGGCTGGGGTTGTGGCTCAGTGGCACAGTGCTTGCCTAGCATGTATGAGGCACTGGGTTCAATTCTCAGTACCACATATAAATGAATAAAAAATAAAGGCCTGTAGACAACTAAAAAAATTTTTTTTAAAAAAATCAGTAGACTTTGGGTAAAGTAGATCATCCTCACAATGTGAGTAAGCCTCATGCAGTCAGCTGAAGGCCTGAACAAAGGCTCACCTCCTCCTATCAAAGGAGAAAGTCCACCAGCAGCCTCCCTTTGGACTCAGCTACAATTCTTCCTGGAGTCTCTATCCTACAGATTTTGGACTTTCAGAGCCTCTAAATCCTGTGAACCAATCATTAAAATAAGTCTGCCTGTCATTCTCTCCTTCCCTCCTCATATATATGTATACCCCCCACGACCAACACCACATGCACACATTCTGTTGATTCTGGAGAATCTTGACTAATAAACCATTTTTAGATTGAAGGAAAAGATGCCCTCTATAAGCCAAAAAGGAGGGTCTTGTAAGATTCAACCCTGTTGACACTTTTATCTCAGACTTCTGGCCTCCAGAACTGTGAGAAAATATATTTCTGATTTTTAAACCACTAAATCTGTGGTACTTTGTTATGGCAGGCTTAGCAAACCACAAAATGATTTTTTGTCTTTAGTTTCCAACTGTTACAACAAAACAATGGCAAAATAGATACTCCAAATACATTTTTTAAAAGATGCACAAGTAGCAGGGTAAGGATTATTCTAGTTTATGCCACCCTATTTTTTTTTCAATTCCAAGTGGTTTAAGCCAAACTCCAGTTAAATAAATTTGTTGCTGATGTCTAGCACTATTCCATACAAACACAACAGATTTCCCATTAGACACCTTAGTAAGACTTTGTAAGAAACCAAGTTCTACCCACAACATACATTTTCCGTTAAAGTTTTCAAAAATACCTAATTATTCTGCATGCAGAGGGGATGATGTTTGTCAACATTTTTGAATCACTTGTTGCATGTACCTGATTATCCGGAATAAACACCAAGACAACTAACAATGGGCATTCCTGAATATACTTTTAATAGAAATATTATTTCCTCAGATTATATTTGATATTAAGATAAAAGCACTGCATCATTAGTCAATCTCATAATTATAATACTTTCTTATGAAATACATTCAATTATTAGAAAAAAATAAAAAGTAGTCAAGCTTTTTACATTTAACAATTAAGTATAATTAGCTCTCTCAAATCCAAGAGTAGTTATGTTTTGTTTTATTTAACAAAAGAAAAAGTATAAATTGTGTTAAATAATCAAATGTATGTAGTTGGGAAAACTAGCATATGAATCCAAGACAGTAAAATATACTAAAGATTTAGCAGGTAAATGATGCCATTCTGTTTTCGGATATTGCTGCCCATTTTCATCAGTTTGTCAGTTAAGGAAAGTTCATGTCTCAAGAACCAGCACTATGGCTCTGACTACAAAACGACAAGGTCCAAGTCCTAAAGGGTAATGAACACCCACATTGCCAGTAAAATCCTCCTCAAATACTTGGAGAGGAGTTCACAAAGACACTGAATGATATTTCAACTAATCAATTTGCACAGAAGAAAGCCTCCAATAGCTACTAGGCCTGACATACTAGGTGCACTGGACTCACTGAAATAGGAAAAACCATTCATTTCTGGCCTCTGCTCCAAATGTTGTGACCTTCTGTAGTCAAATAACCTCTTGTGTGTTCCCATTTACCCATGTAAAATGGTGGTGTTGGTGACAGAAATACTGCAAGAAATACTTGTGGCAGAAGGATCAAAAAAGCAAAGGGTAATTCTCTGAGAGCTAATTATTTAGAAGATAATAAAAAGGACAAGTCTTTTAACAAGATTTGTGAAGAAAAAAAGAGAGATAGCCTCCCCTAACAAAGACACAGAAGAGTATTTTGAGAAAAATAAAAATTAATATGTATAGTTTTCTGCAGATGTTTATAAACATAATGAAATATAATTTTAATATAAAATTTCTTTATAAAACAATTGATAAATTTAATAAATGCATATATCTGTCAATCAACCTTCAGAAATAAGACACAGAATATTTCTAGTTCCCACCAAAAGATTCTGTATGTTTCTTTATGCAGATAATTTTGAAAACAAACAGATTTTCTATGAAACAGGTTCTGTGTGGAAACAGATACTTTATAAATTAAAGCAAAAGAAAAAAAAAGATCTGAATACTCCAATAACCATTAAATTTATTGAATCGGTAGACAAAAAAAATATTCTTAAAATTAAATTCAACAAGCCTAAATGGTTTTCTAGGCAATCATGTCCAAATCTTAAAAGAACAGGTAGGATTATCTGTTATAAAAACCACTCTAGATTCTAGAAAGAAAATAAAAGCTATGTAACTCATCCGTGGGTTTTCTTACATTGCTGCCAACATTGAACAAGGACACTATAAGAAAAGAAAACCATAAACTAAATTTAGTTGTCAACATCAATATAAAAATTCTCTAAAAAAATCAGAATATAAAAAAAATAAAATATAAAAAAACCAGAAAATCAGCAAGTCACTATAACCAACATCACAGAAATATGAAGGATGATCAGACATGATTACAAACAACCATATGCCAAAAAAACTTGATAAACTAGAAGAAATGGGCATACTCTTAGATACATATACTGTACCAAATTGAATTATGAAGAAATGAAAAACCTGAAAAGACCAATAACAAGTAGTGAGAACGATATTGAATCTGGGTTTGGAGTGTAGCTCATGTGTATAGCCTTGAATGGCACTGCAAACAATAACAACAACAAAACTTTTCTACTGAACAAAAACCCAGGACCAGATGACTTCACTGCTAAGTTCTACAAAACATCTAAGGAAGCATTAACAACAGTTCCCCTTAAGTTATTCCAGGAAATAGAAGTGGAAGGAAATCTTTCCAACACACTCTACAAGAACAGCATTATCCTGATTCCAAAACCAGATAAGAACACAACCCCAGTAAAAATCAAACAAACAAACAAAACCCGATAGGTAAATACCTTTATTAACACAGATACAAAAATTCCAAGCTGAATATTAGCAAACCAAATTCAATAGCACTTTAAGAAGATTATTCACAATGATCAAGTGGGATTTATGCCAGGAATGCAAGGATGATTCAATATAAGCAAATCAGTAAATGGGATATATCACATCAATGGAATAAAGAATGAAAACCATAAAATTATCTCAAAACATGCAAAAACAAGCATTGGATAAAATTCAACATCCCTTTATGATAAAAACACTAAACAGTTACATACAGAAAGAATACCTCAATATAAAAAAGGCCACAACAGCCAATATTACAGTGAATAGAGAAAAGCTGAAAGTGTTCTAACATCTGGAACAAGACAAGGGTGCCTACTTTTACCACTTTTATTCAACATAGGCTGGAGCTGCTAGAGTAATCAGGCAAGAGAAAAACGTAATGCTATACAAATTGGTAAAGAATTTAAATTGTAACTCTATATTGTATACTACTAGAGAAATGAAATGCTGTACTCCCTTTGTATACAATGAATCAAAACGCATTCTGCTCTCATGAATAACTAATTAGAACAAATAAATAAATAAAATACTTTAAATTGTTACTGTTGTAGATGACATGATCTTACATATGGAAAACTCACAAAACTCCATGAAAAAGTATTAATACTAATAAACAGATTTGGCAGTGTTACAAGATAAAAGAAATGAACATACAAAAATCAGTAGCAGTGCTATATGACAATAGTGGTTTATCTGAAATAGAAATCAAAAAAGCAATCCAATTACAATAGCTATGAAAAAGTACTTAAGAATAAGTTAACCGAAGTGATGAAAGATCTCCACAATAAAAATTATAAAATACTAATGAGAAAAATTGAAGAGCTCACCAAAAAGTAGAAAGCTATTTTATTTTCATGAATTAGAAGAATCAATATGATTAAAGTGTCTATACTACCCAAAACAACCTAAAGATTCAGTATAATCCCCCCAAAAATGTCAATTGACATTCT